TAATTGTTGGTTGTTGGCTGTTTATTAGATAATTTATGGGCTAACAAGCCAACAAAAAAAGCTACTCAAAGCAGTTTTTTCATTTTGTCTTAAAAGCCAGCTTTTTCGCTGATTAAAAAGCCAATTACCAAACACATTTTTTGGCTGTTTGACCACCTAAAAAAGTCAAAAGCCAAAAGCTAACCAAAAAGCCATTAAAAAGCCAATTACCAAACATAGCCTAAGTTGAATATGATATACTCATATACTACCTCCGGTCTAATTTACTCGCAACAAAGGGGTATTATTTGTGAGACATAAAATATTCTTTTTGTTGCAAGTAAATTGGACCGGAGGTAATATAATAATCTCATACGGAGTATTATTAATAAGGGCATAGATTCTAAATTTTATACTTAGGGACTGTTTACTTCAGCTTAATTTCAATTCAATTTAGCTCGGCTCCAATCGGTTAAGCTCCTAATTTTCCTCTCTCATAAAATATTCATTTCAGCTCAGTTTAGCTCCAATCAATTCACTTTAGTTCAGCTCAGTAAATGTGAACATGCCCTTACTGGTATCAAATTTTTTTATTATTAATTTTTTTTAATAATGTTGGAATGGTTCCACATCTCATTGATGGGATGAATTGTGAACGTAAAAGGTGATGAGGTGGGAACGGGATTTTATGGAGATAGGGTAGAGTTAGGGCCTGTTTGTTTAACATAATTTCAGTTTACTTCAATTCATTTTCTAATTTCATTCTCTCATAAATAATTCATTGCAGCTCATTTCAGTCCAATTCAGTTCATCTCCCATCAATTCAATTCATTTATTTTCATAAATCGAAACAGGCCTTTGGAAGTTAAAACACTCTTGTTATGAGGTTTCACAACTATAAGTCTAAACAATATATTACTTCGTAATTGGCTGGAATTGAGTATGGAGCCATTTCTACTCATTCAAAAGGTCTAATCAAATGACCCTTTTTAGGGACGTAGATTCGAGAATATAGTATGGTGTGGATAACTTTTTGGTAGAAGTCAGAAAAATACTCGTAATAAATTACTTCATCCGTTTCATAACAATTGCAATATTTCCTTTTACATTCGTTTCATAATTATTGCAACACTTCTTTATTTGGCAAGGACTCACTATTTCTCTCCTCTACCAATCTCACTAACACTACTTTTTATATTATTATCTCTATAATTAATAATTAAATATATCTCCACTAACTATACTTTATATTATAAAATTCACCTTTTGATTCCAACACTATAAATTTCCTAAAACTCTGTGCAACAACGAAACAAAAGGAGTAATATATTGCACAATTAAATGTATATATATGCGGTGTATAAGGATTCGATCATTCACATAACATAAACACATGAAGTGAAAGTGTTGAAGAAAAGAGTGAATGAATCTACATCGCATAGGATGAGTGGATAAAACTTTCATCTCAACTAAAAGAATATTTTATTGTGAACATTTTAAAAAGAAATGAGAGGATTATAAGTGAACCAATTAAAGTATATTTCAAATTTATTTTAAAAATGTACTTTTTTTTAAAGATTTTTAAAGATGTACTTTAAAGATGATAGGAATATAAAAAAAAACTGAAAAACCTCCCTATAACATTATACCTTTCACCTCTCTTCATTAAATCAAAATCGAATATTAGGTATATTTCCTTTATCTTTCTTTCGCTTTCTTTTTCATCTATGTTGTTACTAAATTTAAACTAAACTAAGTGTAAGTGGTTTAGTTATCTTATTTTGCTTCTTGACTGATTTCAAGTTGCAATGGGATAAAAATAGGAAATTGATGAGTGGAACGAAAAAAAAAATATCGTCTTTTCTTTGTTTAGTAATATATGCACACCTTTTTTATTCCTTCCCAATATACCACCCTTTATAGCTATAGGATTTGTGCGATATGAGTTTCTTTTTTATCACTATCATTGTCCAATTGGATATCCGTCACTCAAAATATTCCTATATGATTAAGTGCTCCATGTATCTTAATCAAATCAAAGTTTACACTCATGTATCACAATTGACAACCATTATACTAACATTACAAATGGTCTCTCACTCTCTTATTGAAACCTAGAGTATGCAAATAATAAAGTCTATTGAGTGATTACTCCACTCAATGTGTTCATTATTCTCTAATAATATTGTGATTTCAATCCATATAATAAATCCCCTCTAACTTTTGCTCTATAGTCATGACAACTTAGAGCAAAAACATAGTAAGAGGTAAACATATACTCGAATTTTTAAGGAGTATAATACTAGTACATTTTTAAAAAGTTAGCTATCGCGAATTTTATTATAGAAATATCAATTGCTCCCTCGATTTTATTTCCACCTTTAGATTTTAAACATCACAAAAGAGTTTGACACGAATTTTAGGCAATACATGGGATGATGGGAATCAATGAGAGCCTTGGGAGGGGGTCAAATGAATAGATATGTGTAGTTAGTAGTTAATGCCTTAATCGGGCTAGATATCTAACTATAACATGGACTATAATTTCCAAATATTAATACACTGTAGTACACCACGTATATCGGTATATGATAATTAATATGAAAACTACTTTGTGGCTAGTATCATAACTTGTCATACAATTCCACTATTTATTACAAACTTACAACTTTACAAGTATTGTTTAAATAAAATTGGTTGAGACTCATGAAAGTTAACATCCACATTATAAAATTGATCTATTAAGGTCCTGTTCTTTTGAGCTTCTGGGCAGAGTAGAGTAGAGCAGAACAGATTTCAGCAGAGCAGAGCAGATTTCATTATTATTGTTATTATTATTGTTATTATTATTATTATTGTTATTATTATTGCTATTATTATTATTATTATTATTGCTATTATTATTATTATTATTAGTACTACTAATATTATCGCATTATTATTAATCATTAAATTTTATTATTAAATATTAATTATTATTATTATTATATTAATTATAATTATCATTATTATTAAATATTATTTAATTATTATTATTACTAATATTAAAAATTATAAATTAGTATTATCTTTAAATATTATTTATCATCTTAATATTAATTTTTATTATAAAAATCAATTATTATTATTATAATTAATATTATTAGTTATAACTATTATTATTACTATTATTATCATTATTATAATTACTATTATTATTAATAAATATTAATTATTATTATTAATATTATAATTATTAAATATTAATTATTATTATTATTAAATATTAATAATAATAATTATTATTATTATCAAATATTAATTTTTTTTTATATTATTATTTATATTAAATATTATATATTATTATTATTAAACATTAATTATTTATTATTATTAAATATTAATTATTATTATTATTATAATTCAATATTTAGGATTAATTTTAAGCAGGGCAGAGCAGATTTCAGCAGAGCAGAGCAAAGCAGAGCAGCTCTAAAGAACGGGGCCCAATGCTATTATTTTTATTTTAAATTTTAGTTATTTTTTTGGATATTATGCACAAATAACAAACCATGACAATAGCCATGTTAAGAACGGCGGGTTTGGTATACTTTGTGGTCCAGTTCTTGATGAAGTTAAGGTTTTCCCTATTGCTTAGATGGTAGGAGTATATTATGTTATCCCTTCAGCCATCCTTGTATAACATCTTGAGTCTAGTTGACACTATGCCTTTTGCTAGAGGTTTGGGATTTGTTATGCCACTTATATTTCAAAGGCATGCATTACAGACTGTAGTGTGAGCAAAGACGGTAATGTACCAAAGGACAACTGTTATTTGCTTCTGCTATTATGTACTCCGTAGTGAACGTTACACCAATTTGTAGCAGCGAGCTAAATACTATTCCCCTTAATAATATCTTCATGTGCACAAGGTGGGCATGGGCCGTGCCGGCACGATTCCGGCACGGCACGCCGGCCCACTTGTGAGCCGTGGGCCGTGCCGTGAACACAAATATTGAAAATTGGCACGGCACGGCACGGGCACGGTCGTTGGCACGCCGGCACGTTATTTTTATAACATATATATATCGATTTTGTATAATATATATATTTTTAAAAATAAAAAAATCGTGGTGGCCCGCGGCACGACACAGCCTGCCAAACACGTGGGCCGTGCCGTGGGCTAGGGTGTGCCAAAACTTGGCACGGCACGGCACGGCCCACCACCAAGCCGGTACGGCACGAGCCCCACCCCGGCACGGCCAAGCACGGCCCCCGACGGCACGACACGGCACAATGCCCATCTTTATGCACAACCTACTTTGTATTATAGGGAAGATCCCCTTACATAAGTTACACAACACTTGATGGCGAAGAAAGCTCCTTCTTACTCCGTAATTCCTAAGCAAATGCCTATTGACCAGATAATCCGGTCAATCTTTGTTAAAAAAGGAATAAGGTACCATCATAAAATCCTTAAATAATGAAAACCGTACTATCGTAATTTTCAATCTACTTATTCTACTGTAAAACATCAGACAGAGACCATAGAGTTCTGGTGCAACTACCATTATGCTCAGACAGCATCTAACAGAGGGGATAGCACATGTCAGCTCCAATCCTTTGGGAACTAGGAAAGCCACATATATTAGTCCCTTGAATTATTCATACCAGATTGAGATTGGTGGATAAAAATATGGACATTACCACACTAATCTGTTGAATTAGTTTCTGATACAATTTAAGTACTCCGGTTAAAGTTAATGTGTTTTAAATTGTTAAAGTTTAAGTTAAGATAAAATGGCTTACTGCTAATCCAGGAATAATATTTGTTCTCATGCTTTTTATATATGTCACTGATTTTTTTTTTCCTCCCTATACCATTGTGGCAAACTGGCAAATCCCCCACATGTTTATGTGAATCTGGAAATTTGATCACATTAAGAAATTCTCAGTTGATAACTAACATCAATGCACATTATTTCAGAGGCCAAAAGCCTAAAATGAAAAAAAAAAAAAAAAAAAAAACCAATCTAACAAAATAGATGGGTAAAAGTTATTTCATACTAGTAAGAATCAATGTACTACATAATTGTGAGATATACAACATATCGACCTATCTTCAATAAAAACAATATGTGACTCAATTCGAAACAGAATTGACCCATCTTCAATTAAAACTATAAGTGACTCAATTCGAAACAATATTAATAATATTTCAGCTCATATTTCATGTAGAGGCAGGGCAAGTATTAGCATAAGGCCATAAGTTGTAATTTACCTCTTGCCAATAATTGCTTATTTAAGACTTCACCACACAGTTACTTCCCTCCTTTGTTATCATCTAAGATACCCACCAAGCACTTCTCAAGTAAGAAATCTGCATTTACCCAAGCATGGTATTTATCTGAAGAAGGGTCAAGGGTTACAAAACAAGCCTCAATAGAACAAATATTGAAAACACTAGATTAGCACTTAAAATGTTTAAAACCACCAGTGACTCCTTTATATGCTGATCAACATAACCACTGAATTTAATTTAATTTGATACATGCATCATTAATCTGAATAACAATCAATTCTCAGGGTGCGAAAAAAAGATTTCACAAGCAAATTACTCCCTCTGTCTGGAAATCTGGAATGCACACTCACATATACTAGTAATATACAAGGAAGTCTAGTATAAGCTGTCACACATTTCCTAATATAGAAAGTTTTTTTTATTTTTTATTTTTTATTTTTTTTTTTTTTTTATTTGTTGCACTGCGATATGGCCTATATCCAGATATCAAATTACAACAAACCAAAAGCCTAATTCCAAGGAGTCGGATATATCCTTTAAGATACTTGAGTAGTGAAAAAAAATATGGTTAAAGTCCAACTATTTGCAAGGGTCTTTTTTTGTAAAATTATTTCATATTATGAGGAGTTAAGGGCCTTGGGGCAATGTGACTTTCCAGGCAGAGGGAGTATTTATCTTCCTAAAAATTCACTTGGATGAGGAGAGCTCTGAATGATATGCCAATTGCCAAAGGATACTGAATAATGATGTGCAGTCTTTTCCTACAGCTTTCATTAACATATCAACACCTGGAGACAAAACAATCAGCACAAGAAGTCAGAAATTAGTAGCAGGAGAGCCAAGCAAAGCAATTCAAAGAGGATCTTGTATTGACGGGGTGGGATCATGGCCAATAACTAAATAAAGTTTATCAATAACTAGGTACAGCATTTTTTTTTACAGAAATTTAATTGCCTAAAACAACTAGAGAGAGAAATCTCATTATTCTCTTCGTCATTAGCCACTAATTTTCAAGGGACAACAGAGTCATCTAAGATTTTACTGCTAAATAATTTATGACGGAACAAACATTTTCACTTTAGATTTGTTTTAGTGTTGGGGAGTGGGGGAGCACTAATTGATAAGAGCTTTCCTCAGTTTGAAGGAGAAATAATGATGAAGCTTCATCAATATCTAAAATGCATCAGGAGTAGGATAACTTAGAAGGGAGTAGGGAAGGGAGATAGACTATGTTGGATAGGTAATGGTCCGAGTGCTATGTATTATATGGCCCCACTGATAAGTCTTATCTATATAAGTAGTCAACTATCGTGCACAATTAGCTGTTTGGCAATGATTTTCAGCAATATATAAAAGGCCTTATGATAATGGGTCATAAGCGGCTATCACCAACTCCATTGCACAAAACCACAAAGCATAAAAGCAAGACGAACCTCTTTAGGTTCAAGAGAAAGCCTTCTAACCTACTCAGTCTATTTCAATTACAACTTGATCTATGGGAGTACCGAACCTAGATAAAGTAAAGCATCGTGCCAAAATAAATGATATCCAGAGATTTTGCCAGATAAGGACCATCTGTGGGGAATGCATACTGGTTATTTATATCCTTACAAAAATGTGAACAGATCAGAACCACCAGGCAACACCCAGTAGATTCATTTCTGGTGAATACAGGAAAGAAGGCTATAAGCGATGATAGGGACATAGGGTATGGTTGTACTGCTCAGACTCTAGACAATATCATACTTACCCATGAAACATTCTTTATTGTGGTTCACTTGGTAGACATGCTGATGCAATAAGAATGGGGACATTGCTCAGAACACCTGGAAGTTAAGGCCAACTAAATGATAGCCCAACTAAAGATATAAGCTTATGTAAACTCATTATATCCAGTTTTCATGAAAATTTTAGCAATATGAATGGGGGCATTGCTCAGAACACCTAGAAGTTAATGCTTCAGGGTTGAGAATACCAATAAGGTCTTCCTTTGTCTATTGTGCCATTGTTTTATCCTATCTATTATGAAAGTCGGACTAATTGTTCCTGCTATTTCATTTATGCAAAAGTTATAATTTTCTAGCAAACCATAAAACCCAGCAGAAATTCTTTCCAAAATCACCACAGGACTCAGCAGTCAGCACCTAAGCAAATAATAAAAAAAATTTAAAAAATAATAAATAAATACAATCCAGGTTTTGACTGCCTGTACCCTTCTTCCTGATCCCATACTAATTCCCATAGATGGCATTCTTTTATCTACTGAATACTGTTTAATACAATGGACCCTGTTTTTTTTTCCCTATTAAATTCCTTAAACAGCAAAAGCAGTGTGCATTTAATGAAAGAAAATTCCAAAAATGCAGGGCATATACTGCAAACATGTCGGCAGACAGAACATAAAATTAACTTCTGGATGGTAACAAGGATATTTCTCACAGGACATAACATATGGATGGTAACGAAGATAGATAAAACTGGGCACAATAATGAAGACAGATAAAGTACATAGCTAACAGCAAAAACAGTGTCCATACCTCCAGGGTGAAATTTCATGTATGGAGAAATGTTATAAACACGTCCATGCAGAACCGTCCACATGGTGCCTTCTGATTGATGTTGTTTGACTTCACTCAAAGGTATAAGCCTCCTGTTTGACTGGCCATTCAATCCTATATTAACAGTTACAAAAAATTAACATTAAGGAGCATTCCTAATCGCTTAATATTACCAAGGAGCAAGAGTTGCCATATGAAATAGCCAGTCATCTAATTCTAGGCTTGCATACACAATTGGGGAAAAAAAGAACAGGACATTAAAGAGCATTAATTAATGACCACTTATATACAACAAAAGCCAGGAGTAGCCATAAATCATTGTCGCTCATCTAACTCTAGGCCTGCATGCACAGTTAGGGTATTTGATCAATTAAAAAGGGTTGAGAGGCGGGGTGTCTCCTGTCTGTTATCAAGCTCCCCAACACCCCAAAGCACATTCATCCAGACACAACAAGTCAACAAAAATGTACTACATGAACTAACCTGCAAGGTCAGGATGCGTACGAGTAAGCTTGACCCAATCCATTGGACTATAACCTTTTTCAAAAGGAACCTTAGCCCGAGCAGCAGGCTTCTTGGCCACAGGTTTCTGTTCTGCTGGATCCTTTAATGGTTTCCCTGCTTGTTTTTGTGTAGTGATAGGCTGCTTTTGAGTTGTATCGATGACATTGAAAGACAACGATCCAACTTTTTTCTCCTTCACAGTGGTAGATATAGGAACACTTGTATTGTTCCATAGATTAATTTGTTCACCACTATTACTACTTGAGGCTTCCTCGTTAATAGTAATTTTACTAATACCCGGAACCACAGTTTGCTCATTAAAATCATTCTGATCTACGGGTGCACTGACCTAGATAAAGAAATAAAATATACAAATTTCACACTACGTTCTTACAAAATATCATAGTCTGATCAATGAAAATATTACAGTAACTTCAACTTACCTGACAAAATGTGAAATCGTCATCCTTTCCACTATCCATTCAAACAATCGAATACAAAGGTTATGAAAAAACCCTTCCTGTCAATCCAATATGAAATTAATAAGCTTTTCCGTTCAACACATAAAATGTAGCTTAAAATTTATAAAGAGCAATTCAAAGCTTCAAATCTAGCTCTCAACCAATAAAATTCCTTTTGTAATTTAAAAAAATAAAGTATTTTCCTCATTAATTTAAGACTAAATTATCATATTATATTTGTAACAAGGATCAGCAATTCAAGGAGCTAGCTTAGAACATCATACAATCAATCAATTTCAATTTGATTTCATTTCTCGTCAAAAACCTTACAACATCAAAAACAACAATTCAATCTGTATACAATCTTCCACATCAAACCCTAGAATCAAAATTACCCTATTGCATTAATTATCATGTAATTACAATCAAACAAGTGGGTTAACAAATCTCGTTACAAAGTTGCATAATTATCACGCTTGTAATAACAAATAAAACGAAGAACTACTGATATCTTAATCATTCTAAAGTCTGCAATTCAAAACAACGTTATTCTCAATACAATCAAGAAAAAACTTAAACTTTAGTTAAAATCTAAATACAATCAATAAGTATTCATCAAATAGATCAGAAATTAGAACAAAATAAATTTAAGATATCAAATAAATTTTATCAAAATTCTGAACAAAATAAATTTGAATCATCAATTAATTGATTTGATTACCTTGAAAGTGTTTGATCAGTACACCTCTCTCTTCGTCAGTTGTAGTGTAATTGAGCCGCCAATAGATTGTTGAGTTGCATGGTCAATAAAAATGGTGATTATTATACGTTTTTTTTTTTATTTACTTCGGGGTTTTTTTTTTTTTTTTTTGGTAGTTGTAAGAAAGGAAGTCAAATTTGGCAGGAATAGGCAAAATAGGCTTCTTCAATCTGGCCCATTGGGCCGTCAAATTTGCAAGAAAGATCCAACAAAAACTTTGAGCCGGGGACTGTCTTTTATGAATAATATGTAAAAAATAACATATTCATGTTAGTTTGCCTCAAAAATACTATCATAGTATATAAATTTTATAATTTTTACGTATGGAAAATTAAAGTTATTGATTGTTAAAGTTTTGCATTGACAAGCGTGATAAAAGAAACAGGTCAAGGAAAAAAGAACGGATGAATTTATACTTCTTATATACAATAGATGTTTGAAACAATCACAATAATTTAATATTCATATACAAGTACTTGTTTAAACTACATAATGTTGCCATGTAAAATTTATTTTATTAACTTTTATGTATATTTTAATTATATCAACCCTTTATACTTCTAATTAATATGTAATTACATTCCTTCAAAAAAAAAAAGGTAATTACAAATATTAATGATTAAATTTGTACATTGGCACATAAGTCAGACAAATTTTTGTGATTATTATGAAATGGAGCAAATATTTGTGTGATGGTTAGTGTAAGCAAATTGCGAGACAGTTGAGAGTTTAACCTCTTTGAGTTATAATATGCGTACCTTCCGTTCATTTGAACCTATTTATTTCAAAAATTACACTTAAATTAGCTATGAGTAATATTTTGTTTTATATGCTATGAGTAATATGGTAAATTTTCTCATCTAATGAATAATGCCAAGATCTCAAATGACTAAATGAGAATAACCTTTGATTATAAATGGAAGAAGTAGTATCCCTTAAAAAGAAAAAAAAAAAATGGAAGAAGTAGTATTCTATATAGTACCTCTGTTTTATATTATTTGCAATGATTAGACATTTTTCCTCTCTATTTCATGTCTAACCGTTACAAATAATATGAAACGGTGGTACGGAGTAGTATATATGGCTCTAGCCTCTAGGAGAAGAAGGAAGCGAAAAAATTAAAATTATTAGATGGTCCAACAATCTAGTGGTTTACAATAACCCAGAGGGGAAAAAAAAGAGTAAAAGTATTAGATGGTCCATCACTATTAATCAATCATTTTATTTTTGTTTTGTATGTGCTCATCTAAGATGACTATTTAAGGACGTGTTGGCAAACCTTATCCTCATGGCCTCCTTTCACTAAAACTCAAGCCTTACCTGTCAATTTTGAAGGGGTTTTTATTGGATTTCACCGATAAAAAAACCCAATCTTTATTTTCTTTTAAGTATTTTGTTTCTTAGGTTACAATAATGTCTAGGATTTATCTCCTTCGAAAGACAAGAATTTTTTGATCTCTTTCTAAAGACAAGATTTTTCACACTCATTCGAAAGACAAGATTTTATTTGTGTTTAATTTAGTCTCCAGTTGTACGGGACTACGATTGATTATGGCTCGGGTTCAGGTTACATAATCAACACAAGAATTTACTTTCTCATAAAATTGCAAAGCAATGACGGATCCACTCAAAAAGTTGTATGAGACAGTATTTGGATTCTTAGCCTTCCCCAATTAGTTCTTGTTTGATTTTTTCTAATTCGTTTCTATTATCGTTAATACTCAACTGTGGATGTCGTATGACTTTAATTAATGAAATTTAGTTTTCCTTCAAGACTTCATTCAAAAGATGGCTATTTAAGAATCATTCAAACTAATTACATTTGAATTTTAAACAATACAAAGTATATGATCTATGAATAATATTTTCTCCTTTTTAAAATACTGACTCCACTTGTCATTTGCGGTCGTTTTTAAATACTTGTTTCATTTCCTTATTTGAAAAAACTTTTATGATATTTAATTCATTTCTTTCAACAAGTAGACCCAACATAAACAGGGCGAGTGATGAGAATCGATCCCAGATCTCTTTAAATTTGAAGGAGAGCTCTAACCACTTGAGTTATCCCTACCTCTCAAATAATAGATAATGTTAATTTAGAATCGTTCTTTGGAAAAAATGAAAAAAATGCACAAATCAAGTGATGTCCTTATCAATAAAATGTACATTTAATTAGGATAAACATCACACACTAGTACTACAATAAAAATACGGAAGTCACAAGATTACCTAACACAATCGCAACTCAAATTAAAAATCTGATCCAATCGCATCTGAAATAAAAAAAATAGAGATTATAGAAGCGTTAACATCAAACAACTCACAATAGCCAGAAAATCAAAATTCTGAATATAGAAAAATACAACTCAATTGCCGTTTTTGTTAGACTACTACAGTATACAACAACAAACAAACAAAATACAACACTTGTCACGGCCCCTCCTTACTGCTTCTCACGCTCACTCTATAATACCAGTATTTCTTCTGCATTTCCCAATTTTCTTAAACCTTTTCTCCTTTTTCTTTCTCCGCCTTTTTTCTCTCTCTAGGTTTCTCAGATTTTCTCTCTCCTCATCTCTCCAATTATTTCTCGAATATTTCTTTCTGATTCTCTTGCTATTTTTTTTTTTTGCGTTAATTGATTTTTAATTGACATTTTTTTTAATTAATTGATTATTATTATTAGAGTGAAAGATGTCAAAGACTGGAGCCTTTGATCTTGCTAGTGGCGTTGGCGGAAAGATCGAGAAAGATGATGTTCTCTCCGCCGTTGACAAGTAATTTCTCTTTTTTTATTTTTACTGCATTGTTGTTATAATTATTCGGAATTTGAATCTGTGACTTATCGTACACAAACCCTTGGTCTTTGACACTTGGCGAAGACCTCATCTATATAGAAAACTGGAAAAACTTTTTATGAATATGATGGAAGGGGAGATAGATTATGGTAGTTGAATACTTGAATTGAGTATTGGGGTCCACTAATTCAGCAATGAAAAAAGAAAAAGAAAAATAAAATCACGTGATATCTGAATTAATGAACTCCAACTAGCAAAACTTGCTCTATTGAATGAATTTATGATGTTTGATTTACTATTTGAATTATTGTAAACAAGTTCTGTCAATTGTCAATTTGTCATAGTTTGGTGTTGTTGATGATGGTCAATTTAAGGATGTTTGTTGGGCTAGATCCATGCTTTTATTATGTATATAAGCAAAAATCTAAGCGTTTTTCTTCACATGTGTTTTTTGTGGTGGTCTGATCACGCAATGTTTGCCCACCTCATGATCTGTGTCTCATTGTTGTAAGTCGTGGCTTACGGAGTTATTTTGGGACGGAGGGAGTAATTTTCTTACCACGTTTATTTTGAATTTGTTGAGGAATTGTACTTGCACAATCTAAGTGTCTTTCTCCTCATTGTATGTTGAGTTGTTTATCACGCAATGTTTGTTTAATTACCAATTAATAAGTCAACGGTTACAAAATTAGTACATTTTGTGCGAGTAGGTATTGTTCATTCAACTTGTTTAGAGCTTTAGATTTGTACGTATCGAAATGATAAACTTGTGAAGAACACGGGAAATATGTAATTTCGGATCAAACTGTTCACGGTGAAGCTTATTAATAATGATGGTAAATCAGTTAATATGAATATAATTATAGGAAAGAGATCCCGTCTAAACTTTTCTTGAATTGATTACTGTAATGAAAGCCAATGCAAAATGTTTAGAATATTCGTTCTGTTTGCGATCCCTCAGCGTCAAGTAATTAGTATACTTTTCTTGCTTCAGGTATGAGAAATACCATGTCTACTATGGAGGTGAAGAACAAGGAAGAAAATCTAACTACACCGATATGGTAATGAACAATGAATTTGTACCAATTGTCGTTTGGTTTAAGAGTTTCTGATCTGGTGATTAATGATCACTGTGTCATCTATTCAATTTATTTTGGTGTTGCCAACTTCCGCTAGCTTGCTCTAAGTGTTGATTATCGAATATTATCAAATGGAACATGCTAGTGTCTTAAGTACATGATAGGGAACATGTCATTATCTAGAAGTATCTTTGCTACTTAGGTATTGACACTAGTTGGAAGTTTAGCTAACATGAAGGTATGAAGTAGGGATTGTATCTTACTGTGACAAATTGAAACTTGAGTGGTTCATCTAGTTAGAGAGAGCATGTGCAAGTTTGGGTACAATCTTGTGTGGTGGGGATTACTGGGGAATATATAGTCCGAATTCCAATTTCAATGTATACGTCTCTTGTGTTGAAATAGCTTTTTTAGTTTAATTCATTTTATCTTGATCTATCGTGTTTTGAAGGTTTAAGCTTCGCTATCCTATATTCATATGTATTAGTGTAGATAAAACCAAATAATATATGGGATCGGCGATAAGTTAGTTTCACTTTCTTTGAGTGCAGGATACAATAAGCATTGCTCATACCAATGCGCTGGCTTTATAAATTTATTTGATTGCTTTTGAGGATGTATGCTTCTCTGTAAGGCTAGATAATGATTAATGAGCACGTAGTTTAATTTACTCTATATTATGTAATTATATTATTCTGACTATATCTCCATTCCAAGTTTTGAACTCCGAAGTATCTAGAATTCGTATTCTTCTTAACTGGTGAATGGTGATCACATAATCTTTGTCCAGGCTTGATTGTTAAAATTATTTACATTATTACTTTTTTAATCTGAATGAGCTATTTTTCTTGGTGTACTCTAATGACAGGTCAACAAGTACTATGATTTGGTGACTAGTTTCTACGAGTTTGGCTGGGGAGAGTCCTTTCATTTTGCTCACAGGTTTGCCTTTATTCTGTTAACAACCTTTTTTATTTTATTTTATTTTAACTGTATTCATGTTGGTGCTAGCATGTTTCTCCAGATTTTACCTTTTTTAAGGATGAAATGCATGGAATTTTATATTTTTATGCTTTCAGATGGAATGGGGAATCTCTTCGTGAAAGCATCAAACGCCACGAGCACTTCCTTGCTTTGCAACTAGAACTGAAGCCAGGGCAGAAGGTTTTTTTTTTCTCCTTCCTTTCGGGATTCGTGGTGGATTTATATTCACACTGAGAATTAATCCCAATGTTTTCCTGA